GTGAGTGACAATCGAATAAATTGAGGGTGTCGCGCCCCATTTTTTTTTGATAAAATAAATAAATGGTTTGAAAAAAATGTATTTTTTGATTCAATTTGTGATTGGAAAATGAATTGTTATTTAAAAGAAAAATGGGTCTAAATGGGGGTTTGAGAATGCGACGATTTGACCCAAAATTATAGTTTAAAAAGGGTTTTTGAAATAAAAAATCGGAGTCGCCACTTGGTAATGAGTTAAGGTGTACCAAGTCACCTAAAAAAATGAATTTTTAAAGAAAAATAGGAAAAAATATTAAGAAACCCCTTTTAAACGACTCCTAGTCCACGTAAACCAACGAAAAAGGTTCGGGAGTCACATTTGACGAAGGGGAAGGCAAGGATAAAAATCCAAGGCACCCCTTCGACCTAGCCAAGGCTAGTTGCGTGATTTAATCAAATATTTTCTTGTTTTAACCAAAAAATTTATTACATTTGGATGTACTATATGAATGCAAACCCTAGACCTAGGGGTATTGGGAAAAATTTCTCTTCAAAGGTTGAATGGTGCCAATCACATTAATTGTGAAGCCCAATAATGACCCTTTGGAGAGGTCACGAATAATGCGAGTGGGATGCAAATGAATGAAATGCATGTATGCAATGTGAGGACATGAGTTTGAAAAAGTAATAAAAAACAATAAATATGTAAATGAAAATGTGCACGTGAGCGGGCAAGGTATGGTAGGTGAAATGATAATATGAAGTGCATGTGTGCAAGTGATGATAAAAGTGTTCGTGTGCAAGTGAAGAAACATAAAGGTGCACGTGTGCAAAATGGGAGGAAAAATGAAAGTGTGATGAGGGTATAAAATGGTAAAGTGGATTTGAAAATGCATGAGTCTAGGGAATTCATGCATATTGGGTACGGGGAGACCTAAATCGTGACTCAATTTGCCCTTTTATAGAGGGAATACAAGCGTGCTAAGGCTTAGAAAAAGCCACACTCGTCTATATCCCATATTTAAGGGGACCCTCAAGCAGATGAACCCTATAACTAGCATGAAATGCAAAAATCCTAAAATGGAGGGAAAAGGGGTTCGAGGGGTATGCAAAATGATAAAATTAAAAAAAATGCATGACATGTAATGAACATGCAAACATGTACTAACGAGGGGAAGTCCCTAAGGGTCTAGCGTTGGACTAGCCCATTCTATGAATTCCGACTAGCGTTGGACTAGTGGAAACGTACATTCATCCATCACATTCATTTATAAATATAGAAAGCAAGTAGACATGCAAAATCACTTATAACACGTAGCACATAACACTTAGCATGCTCGACTAGATGCAATAGCTTAATAAAGCAAGTAACACGTAACACATAGGCATGCAACCAAACTAATGAACTTATTACATTCACTAATTAAAACAAAAGGGGAAGGGGAAAATGGACCAAATTGCTCGCCAAAGCCCTATCTATTACAAGCCAAGAGGTGTACACATACCCCATTAAAAGAATAACTTCATGAAAATGAAAGTAAATGACATAAGTAAAAGGAATTAAGAAAAAACTAGGTAAGCAAAGTAGGCATGCAATTCACTTAACACGTTGGGTCATATAGGAGAGATAAACAAAGATAAAAGAAATTATACCTTCCCCTAATGGTAAGCAAATGAAGGAAAATGGCTTCAAAACAATAAAGAGGTCAATGCATCAATTTAAAAGTAAAGTATAAGCAAAAACACCAAAACCCACCTAATTGCGACTTGAATGAGCTCAAAAAATGCTTAAAGACCAAGAAAACGGAATAACCCGTTCAATTTCCAAATATAGCATCTACTAAAGACCCAAAACAAGCATTACTCAAACATTCAAGTCCAAATAAATCGTTTAAGCACTTCAAAGATTCCAAAAATAAAGAAAAAGAGCCAAACAATGATTGAAGTTGCAATGATTTTAGGACTTAATTACAAGATACTAAAACATGCTTGGGCTATTGTGGCACAAAGAGAAACTTAGAGGGATCAAATTAATTGAATTCTTCAATTTGCTTGGGCCATGGTAAGATAAGGAGAGACTTAGGGGGCCAAAGCGTAAAGAAAAGGCCAAGGAATGGTTCAATTTGCACTTTTAGAAACCAATTACAACCATCAACAACCACTCAAGTCTAATTAACACATTTTGGGAAATTCACAAGCTCAAAAGCAAGGAAGGGGGCCAAGTCATGACTCAAATTGCAATTATTTTAGAACCCAATTGTAAGCTACTAGAACATAGTTGGGCCTTAGTAATATGCGGAGGAACATGGGGGACTGATTTGCAATTTTTTTGAAACTTTTTACATGTCAAATTCATGCAACAAAGAAAACAACGTAAACAAGTTTCTGCAATAAACTTTCGGCAGCTTCCTCTTGTAAACTTCATGCCAGATTTTAAACAAACTAACTAACTAACACCAACTCTCAAACACCCTTGACAACTGAACATTTTTGTTAACTCAATCCCTTCATAAACAACCAACCCTTAAAATGAAATGAAAGATCAAATGATGAACCATATTGCGGCAGAAAATAGAACTTGCTGGAAATTTTATTTCCCAAAAACGCAGGTTCCCATCCAAATGCCTAATTTTGATCTAAACTTTGTTCCCCAGATACCAAAATGGAAAACTAAGCAACCAAAATAAGAACTTCCGCATCTAAAAAGGCCAAAAACTTAACAGGATATCACGCCACATTCTGAAAGAAAAACATGTTTCAAAATCTGCTACAACTAAAGGAGAAGTCTGCTGCAGCTTCATTTACAAATGGGCTCTAGACAGCCTTAAGTATAACCATTTCATTTGTCCAAACTCTGGATTAAGCAATCAAAACAAATAAAACTCACATCCAACAAGCAAAACATAGAAGGAAATTATATAAAACACTTATGGAACTTTTAGGCAAGATGGAAAAAGATTGCTGTAATCTTATTGATTCACTTTGAGTTAAGCGCATATGATATAGCAAGGGTGAAATATCTTGAAGACTTTGCTGGACAGCCTCAATAATAGCCTTTGGTATATAAAAATCCTCCAAACACACACTAAACCCCTCGGAATACAGATTTTCCATCAACAAGGGTGTCAAACAACTGAAGAATCTTAACACCTCCTTAGGACCTTTTTGTAAAGAAATGAGAACATGTTTGGGCTTTTGTGGAACATGGAGAAGCTTGAAGGATTAAATTGATTAAGTATTCAAATTACTTGGGCCATAGTGAGCTAAGGGGGGACTTGGGGGGGTTCAAAGGCAATTTTGAAACAATTTCCATGCAGGTTCATGCAACAAGCGTAAGAAACTTGTTTCTGCAACAATCATTTTTGCTGAAAGCTTTCTGCAGCCCAAAACAACATTGCTACTTTCATTTCCGCAAAACAAATGTCAACCTCGACACAAACTTAATCAAAATTCTTTCAAATCAAACCAACTTCATTTCCGCAAACAACTTCAACATTCAATCAAACCAAAACATAAAAGAAAAATCATGCAAATGCCATGAAGAAAATTTCTGCTATAACCATTTCGCAGCTTCAGGAAAAATCTTTCCTTCCACAACCATTCTCATGCAATTTCTTCTTACACTTAGACATATTCATGCAAACAACCAATAAAAGGCTTGATTGAACTGTCATCTAGACAAGATACCAGCTTGGAACCGAAATGAAAGAGTAAACAAAAAAAAACTAAAACCGTAAGACATGAAGATTCGGCCAGCTATGTACATTTTCCAGCAATGTTTCTTGCCATTCTTGTGGTCATTCTAATGCAACTTTTCCATCCAAACAAAAACTAGAATCTTAAACAAACATCATAACTTTGATCTTAACAATAAAATTACCAAATTCAACATCCTAATAAGCCAAAACCTAAACAGAAAAACACACCAGTGCTTAGAGAAAAGTCCAGCCAGCATTCGGCAATTGGAGTTGTTCATTATTTCATTTTTTTTCTTGCTTAGCCGGACCAATAAACTTCCTTAGCTTGAACATCTAATTTTAATTAAACATCTAACCAAGTGAAAATCAACCACTTTCCAGCAAATTTCATGCTAAAATACCCATGCAATTTCCAAAACAAACTTCAACGGCTAAACTAGAAAAATTGGTTTAGCAATCCAGCAACTTCCAATAAAATTTCCAGCCATGCAACCAAATTCCTCAGCCATAAAGATCACATGCAACACCAAATAACAAACTATCTATCAGATTGGATCCAAAATCAAGTTCAAATGTCATCAAAATCACCATTTAACCAGAAATTCAACCCAATTCTCTCGATTGACATGCATGCAACCGGATTTTTGGTATTCCTTCAATTTTCTTGTTTAATCCAAGTTAATTAGCTTCATGCAGAGCTAGATCATCCAGGCTTTGGTTAGTTAAACATACATATAGCTCAGATCATCAAAACTTGGTCAACCGAAGCTGCAAATTTCCAGCTTAAACTCTCGGCAACCATTTTCTTCACAAACAGATTTTTCTATAACTTAAGTTATCATCTAACCACACAATCCTCACATGCATGTCCTTAAACAACTTCATCAACCCATAAACAACTAGTTTAAGTCCAGAAATTTACCTCAGCTTAAGACTTAGCTCACACGCCAAGCAGCTGCAAAATTTTCCTCCTCTCGGCTTTGCTCACGCACGCAGGGTTGGTTGGTCTGAGTTCAGTGGTTGCAGTTGTAGTGATTGTGGTTGAATTGAGCACGGCTGGTTGAGGTGAAGAAAAATGGCAGCTCTCAGATGATGGAGAAAGTAATGAAGCTCACGCAATTGTCTCCTGCTCTCACCCTCTCTCGGACAGTTCAAGTACCGAAGCTCGCACCGCTCTCTTTCTGGCTTCTCTCGTCAATGATACCAAGGCAGAGAAATGTTGTTGTGAGCTCAGCTGGGAGCTCAACTCATGCGCAAGAAAGCTGAGAAAATCTTCCTTCCTCTCGGCTCGCACGCACAGGTTTGGTTCGCTTGGCTGTGGCAGATGGTGGAGCTGGTGGTTGCTGCGGTGATGGTGTTGGTTGGAAGATGATTGCAGCTAGTGGAGGTTGAAGAGAAACGAAGGGGACTCACGCACAACTTCTCCCTCTCTTCCTTCGAGCTCACGGACAGAAACAAGAAAGATTGCAGCTCCCGAGTTTTTTTCTTTTTTTTTCCAGATGCAAGGTGCGGCTCCCTCTTTGTCTCTCTGGTCGATGATTCCGATGTGAGGTGGAGTGGTAATGCCAAGTTGTGATAGTGGAGAGAAATCTTGTTGTGTTCTAAGGTAGTGGAATGGAATGAGTGGCGGATGAGGGAGGTAGAGTGTTTTAGAGGTTATAAGTCGGCATAGAGATGGAAGGTGCTGGAATGTAAAATGGAAATGGATTCGGCAGAAATAGAATTTTGATTTTTTGATTTTTTGATTTTTTGATTTTTTGATTTTTTTTTGAAACAAACAAAATTGATAATAATAAAAACAAAATAATTAACATTTGATGAAAAATAAACTAGAACAATAAAGTGCAATTTCCATTTCTTTTCCATTTCCTATTTTCATCGTTTTTCTCTTTTTTTTTTCTTTCTTTTTCTTTTTTTCAAAATAACTTAACAAAAATAAACAAAATGCCAAAAGATTAAATTTAGAAGACATAAAACATATTTTGTGGGCAATTTTCTTTTTTCTTTCTTTTCTCTCCTCTTTTCTTTTCACTTTCTCATTTTCATTCATTTTCCAAGAGATTCTATGCTAACAACTTAAAAATAAAAATAAAACTAGAAACTAAAACTAAAAATCGAATAAAACTAAAATGAAAAAATTAAAAATAAACAGCAAATGAAATTACACCAAAATTTGGTGTCTACAGTTTGCCCCTCAATTGGAGCCTTAATTTTGATTTATGAACTTACGCAAGTTTTTGTGAGAAAAGATGCAACATATATTTGAATACGACATCATGCTCAAATATACTGTTGGAGTAGCTGAATTTAAGACCTTCATGCATTTATCTCTTCTTATGTGCTCCCCCCTCCTCCTCCTATAATCATGAAAACATAAAGTTGCTACATGGAGTGGTACTATTTCTATAAACAATTAAAAAAAATCGAGTAGAAATTGAATTTCCAATTAGAAAAACAATATCCAGGTAATTAAATCTCGTAATTTATGCTGATCTGTATCCTACATAAATGTTCAAGCTTTCTATAGAAAGAAAATAAGAAAATTAAATTTTTTTACCCAAAAAAAAAAAAAGAACAAGAACTAGAACAAGAACGTAATTCCACAATGACTGGTATTTTTGTCCCTTCCCTGCAATTCTGGTATATAAGGGCTCTATCCATGATCCATCCACATCCAAACAACGGAAAACACCATCTAACATCATGAGTAGTGCCAGCAAATTTGTACTCTAGCTTGCCATTTCTCTTTGTTTCCTTGCTCAATTATGTCTGCAGGTTTCTTGCTCAAGTCACGTCATTGAGGGTGGTGATGGTGAATACAAGCAAGTATTTCTCCACATCAACAATTCCCTCACAAATGACTCCCCTGCATTAGTTGTTCATTGTCAATCATCCCAAGGTCGTGATTTCGGCAACGTATCGCTTGCAGATAGAAGTGAATTCAACACCGTCTTTCTTGCAGATTCGCCTGGACAACCTACCTACTCTTGCCACTTTTGGTGGGATCCCAAGCAACAAGAGTTCAACGTCTATGATAAAGACATAGATGGACACTGTCTGAGTGCAGCTGAAGCTGGACCTGCACAAGAAGTTTCGACCATTTCATGTTACTGGCATGTACAGATGGACGGTTTTTACATTGGTACTAAGGATACTTCAAATGAAAAGTTTCATGATTGGTGATCCTGTCCTGAGTAAATGATTAGTCAGAGGGGGAGAACACAGGCCTGGTGATTATCAAGGCATTAAGATTCTTCTGTTCCCTCTCCTCTGCTGGATGTAAAGCTTGTTGCCCTACGGCATAACCAATGGATAAATTAAGAATGATTGCCATTGCCTCCACAGCATAAATTTCAGGATGGCCCAATTAAGATTAATGCTTTGACTAAATATTCGGGAGCATTTACAGTTTTCTAATTGTTAGATGACGTTTTGATGATCAAATTCTACAAGAATTCAAGTGCTCAAAACAACTACTCTAACAAAGGGAACAAGAAAATTTTTTTCATAGTACCAAGTACTAGTAGTGTTTTTTGTCTAGCTAAGTCCTCTATATCCAGTAGTATCCATGTTTTGCCTTTTGTGTCTTAGCAGTGCTCATTCGTTTGCATCAGTTAAGCACTTCCAGTTCTTCGAAGTGGCATGTAAGCTGTAACCAAGAAATGGTGAGGTCTCCAAAAAAATTTAAAAGAAAGAAAAAGGACCAGTAACGATAGCAAATAAAAGAAGAAGAGATGTGACTCGAGTTTCTTTCTGATTTCATGCAGTTTATCAGTGCTGGTATTCTTTTCATGAATTCTATACAGAAATCTATAAGAAAACCTCAGCCTCAAAGATCTACTCAGAATACATAGCTTTTCACCTTAATGTTGAAACTTTGAGCTTGAATGATTTTAACTTAGGTTCTTACAAATTGTGCAATCTATCAGTAGCACACGTCCGTTCTTGATCAGAATACAGAAGCGTGTGAATTGTATGAACAAAGTCCAATGACTAATTCTTTGAAAACAGATACGCTAACCAGGAAAAGAAAAGGAAAAAGAAAGATATGCTGACCGACAAGTACTTGCACAGATAGGCAAAGTCTAATTGAGCTTTAGACATAGCTGATATCATCTCAAATTAAACTGACCCCAGTAGGCAAGATCTCATTGAGCTTTAAACATATCTGATATCATCTCAAAACCTTGCAGCCTGGAAAAATCAGTGGGCATTTACAGGAGTTTTTTAAATTTCTTCACCCTCAATGCATGGCCAATGGTGCAACAGTGTGTGATCATTTCTAGTTGTCCCTTTGATCACAGAACTGGAATTATCTTCGTTAATCACTTTGACTGTCATACGTCTAAGTTCCGAGCCTATTTAAAAGATTAGGGAAATGTTGAACATCTGTGGCAACATTAGCTGAAAGAAAGTGTAGTCTAGATCTCCTCAGGGAGCTTTGTGGAATAAACAAACTGATCCAATGGTCTTGATTTAAGATTAAAATTATTGTGTTGCCAAAATACCTGGCTGAGCGGATAATTTGGAGAAAACATATTCTTTTACATTTGAGGAAAAAATCTACAATACTGATTCCACCAGATTCAAGTTTCTTTGGTAAGATTGCAAAGAAAAAATGAGGATGCAGACCTTACTGTCCTTTCCAGCCTAGTTTGGCCCCATTCTGTAATGTTTAAAGTTGTTGAGGCTTAGATGTGATCTTTTAAGCCAAAAACAGCCTCTTCCAGAAAATTTTCTGGCAGATTTTTATGAATTGGAGATTTTACCTGCGGTAACCCACGTGAATGCACTCCTGCATCAACAAATGAGAAAAATACTCGTTTGCTACAGGATTCACCTTCATTCAGTCCAGATTCCAGCTTGACCGGGTTGGTCTTGAATAATCCTCCACTAAAGTTGCAGATAACCAAATAGAGATGCATTGTTACAATCTGAGAAGCTCCAGCCTTATTTCATAGCTGCCCTTCTCATATAATTGGAAACTCCTTAATGAGACTTAGTAGAAGAGACAAATCGATGAAAGAGGAAAACATTTATCTTTGTTAAAAAAAACTGCTGGAACTTTGGCAGTTGGCTAGAGGCTAAAGTTTTCTTTTTCTTTTCTTTTTTTTTTTTTTTGATGATTGTGGTAGTATGGCACTCATAGATACATCTGGAGAAGATGACTTACCTCTAGCAGTTCCTAGGAACACCTTCATCATCATGCTTCACATTTTACTATAACTAAAAGAATACACCTCTTTGTCTAGATTAATCATGTGCTTACTAATTTTCCGAACAAAGTAACTACAGGTCCCTGTAAAAGGCTCTCCCTTTGCTTGTTTATTTGAGCCCCACTATAAACTATAACACAAAACAAGAGTTACCTCCACATAGCTAGCCAGATGATGACATACCACGACTGAATAATGATAGTCCAGACCAACTGTACTTACAATATTTTGCCAGAAGTAAACAAAAATGGTGACGATTCAATTAAATTCAAGTGGACATTCATTTATGCTCTTATGAGTTCGTATATGAATCCAACTTGCAGAACCAAATATTTTTTTTATAATATACTCAACGAGTTGTTGAGTGTCCACCAGCAATCTTTGAAACAGTGCTTCCAGATTTTGTCAAAAGTCTTTCCTTAGAGGTCCGTATTTTACTTTCTCTAAGCACGTATTGACTTTCCAGACATCATCGATTAGATTCTGTAAATCTTAAGTTAGAATGTTCATCAAAGCATTTTCTAGGGTTGTATACTTTGAAGGACTCAGCTTAGAAGAACTTCTGATCCAAAGAAAACAACTCAAGCTTCAGCCTTTAAGCTCCTTTCCACATTGATAATATAGACAAATAGATAAAATTAACACCTTACAACAGTTCTGAAAACTACAGCTGAGTGATCTCTTCAAAATTAAGTGCTTTCTGCTTTAAATCCACAAATGAAAAGTTGGGTGAAGAGTTAGCGTTTCAGAGATGAGCATAATCAAAAGTCGGACCTTGATAAATGACTATTAAGTGGTGCACTGAACATGGCCAAGATTAAACTAAAGCTAACACCAAACAGACATAAATAAATATTGAGCATATGGAGCATCATTCTAGTGATGTATTATTGAAAAAAATATTGAATTTGAGTTTACAGGGTGTAAAGCTAACACCAAACAGACATAAAGCAGTAAAAGCTAGATGAAGAAGAGTATATGGATCTTCACTCTGGTAATGTATTATTGAAATCAATATTGAATTTGAGTTTTACAGAGTGTAAACTTTGTGGCTGATGCATGGAGATTATCTACTCTGCCATGAAATGAATCTCAGAGCTTAGTTGCCGTGCTTTGTGAATACAAGTAATGACTATACAAAAAGCAAGTTTTAGGAGATCAGTTGTATCGGGTTCTCAGCAACTTCAGTGTACCAAGATTTCCAAGCTTCCACATAATGTGCAAAAAGATCTCTCAAAGCTGAAACATTAGAAGCACCAAAATTCTATTAGTAATGAATCACATCAGGCTCCTTTAGGGCATAATGCACAAAAGGTACATACCTACCATCATTAAGTTATTCAGATCCTATCATTTTTTAATTGAAATCTGATCGACAATATGAAGGCTGTATAGCAAACTGGTAAACAGACAATCTCGAAAACTGAAATTTATGACTGGGTGAATGATAGTACTTTTTTTTGAGCAAATATGAGGTCTTGAACCCAGGACCTCCTACTTATAATCCCTCCTACTTGAAGAACAGGATGCAGACACAAAAGGGACAGGTCGCTTAACACAAGGCAATAGACTATAGGAAGTAACAATCATTGTAAAACGTAATCTGTATGTAGAGAAGTATCAATGTAAGAATAACATCTAAGTAATCACCTAAGCATAGAATTCTAGTCGAAACATGTAACTATCCAACACACCAAACAGCACAAAATGGAGAAACTGGAAAAGAGAACAACTGCACATTTAAAACTGTTACTGGAATGCCCCATTTATAGGTTTCCTGAAGGCTTATACAATCAAATGTACCTTATTGTGTGATCAAGCATAATACCTTGATTATGGTACTGAGGGCGATAAGTAGCTGTTAGACTTTCCCAATCATGACTCTGTGTTTCTTTGTTATCCTCAGAAGCTGCGACTTGTGGTGCATTCACAGGGGCAAAAGGGCCAAACCGGTAACTTTTTGTGCTGGCTCTTGAGTCGATCTGCAATTTTGGCCGAAGAACCTCATCTTCCAAAGCCTCACGTTTTACTTGTGCTTTAAGTTGTACCTTCATGCCCTGTTGCAATCCTCCATCCCCCACCGGTTCCACCTTACTCCTCTTAACAGTCATATTTGTCAGATCCATCCCAAATGCCCTTTTCTTAGACCCATCAATAGCTGAAGGATCAGCTCCGCTTTCAGATATACCTTTCATACCCAACCATCTAAAAGCAGGTTTTCTTGTTTCTGGATGATGTGTCTGCGCGCCATGCAAATGGCAGGTGATTAATATGTAAATGTTGCCATTAAAGCTTCACTCCAAATCCTAAGAAGTTCCATGGTCTCCAACTCATAGTTTGAAAACAGTTTAACGTTCTTGCACCAATGCTATATAAAATCTTAACCATTCTACATGACTGGGATATTTTCCTTGAGTCCTGTGCATTACTATACACATACTAGAAAAGATGGGATTACCTTCTCAATAAATTTCATTGAAGCCAACACATTGGCAATGTCATACAGCCTTCTGACTTTACCTGCAGCATATGATGGAAAACAATGTTATCATCCACATCCAGATATCTACCAAATACAATGAAAGTCAAATTGACAAGGTAATTACTTCTTGTCATTGCAGGATCCTTTCCATTCTTAAGCAATATCTTTGCAGCATCATCAAGAGAAATCATGTCCATCTACAAGAACATAAATCAATTCAGGCACCCAAAAGCTGAACAGTGTGACTGATTATGCCAGCAGGAAAGGTAAATCATTCAAGCCGTGGTTTCACTTACATCCATACAAAGGAATAGCTTAACAAAGTTTTGGGTGAGCAATGCCAAAGACTTCTCTTTCCTGTTGTCAGCTGAAGTACAGGATGATAAATTAGTCTAACAATTCCGATAGAAGTCTAGCACAAAACTGACTGCACAATAAGCAGCAGAGCATATCATACAGTTAAAGAAGCAAATAATAGTACCATATTTGGATGACTGTGGAAGCTTTGGAGCAGAAATGGGGTTGAAGTTGTGATTCTGACTTGAGTAGTTGCTAAGACTTGAGTAGGTATCGTCCTCCTCATCATCTGAAGTCTAAAAGGAGAAAATGGTACTCATATCATACAAGAGCACAAAATATAGCAGGAAACCGGAAGGAAGAAGAGTTATGAAAATGGCCAAGCATACTTTTACAGACGAAGTTCCATCATTTGCATTCTCATTCGTCATCATACCTTCTTCCTATGACACCATGAGAGCCCAGTTGAGTACCATTTTCACACAAGAAAGATTAAACATGACAAGGGGGAAAAAAAAGATAGAAGACAACCAACCAACCAACCATAAGAAGTTGCAAGGCAGAAGGAATTGCGCCAAAACCTTTCCAAGTATAGCGATTTTTGGCCTTCCTAGCAAGAACCTGAGCCGATGAAAATTCCAAGACAGCAAGGTCAGGTTTTTTTGGCCCAATTCATTTAATTTTAGAAGGCCTAGACTGAAGTATAAAAATATAGTAATACTATAAATCTAAAAAAAAAGGGGGGGAAAAAAGAAAGAAAGAAAGAGTCTTACACCAACGCTCTCCAAGACATTGACTATGTCATAGATCCGCCGCCTCTCAACACCTTAACATCATAGTAGTAGCATTAATTTTAACCGAGAGAATAAAAAATATAGAAAATTAGAAGAATCCAATCAGTAACATCTTTTACTGCTACTAATTCACATGCAGGGGAAAATTAACAAACATAAAAAAAGGAAAATGGCGAAGGAAGTAAGTGAAAATTGGAGAAGAGAAGCAAGGGGTACCTACCCAAACGAGCAGCGGCGTCGTCAAGCCCTATAGTCTCGACACCTTCCCTATCGTATAATCTCAAGAAACTGCATTATTGCATTCAAGATACATGTATCAGACATTTTTAGTCTGTAAAAAATGAAACACGAAAATTGATAGTATTATGCTGTAATAGAAATGAAAATTGGGCAGGGACATGAATAGTGAAGAAAAAAGAAGAAGAAGAAAAGGTAGTAGTAGTAGTAGTAGTACTTGGAACATAAGAGGCCGAGAGATTTCTGTTTACGGCAATAAATGTGTTGAGATCCACCACCACTACCACCGGCAGCGGCAGCAGCTGCTTCGGACGCTTGATTTGTTGAGGGCAGCAACTCCATTCCCATTCTTCTTCTGCTGCTGCTACTACTACTGTGCGAGTATGCGAGAGAGAAAGAGAGAGCCGTTAAGAAGAAGGGGAAAAAGAGAAGATTTTGGCGGAATTAGAAAAGGAGATCTGGGAATGAAAGGAGGGATTTTGAAAGTTCGAATGAAAGCGCCAACTCCCTTTTTTATTTTTAATTTTTTTTTTGGGGTGGGTACTAAAAATCTGAAGCCCGGCCGGCCTGTATGAGCGGAGGTTTTATTTACCATTTTGACCTTCCACAATTCCAACGTCAATTGGCGGCAATTTATCTGGTCCGCTCAGCTCTAGGGGCTGGAGCGGTTGTTAGAGCTGAGCGGTTGTTAGAACAACCGCTCCGGAAGGTGTAACACCATTTGTACATGGTGTAATATCATCTGTACAAGATGTAATAATAGAACAACAGTGAGTAACAATAGAACAATATTTTTGTGGGTCCCACACGGCGTGAAAATCGAGTTACAAGACGTGATCTGAGCCGCACAAATTTTTGAGGCCTCATCCAGGCCGTAAACTGCCTGAGACAACCGTCCAGGCCCCTCGTCCGCTCTAGCCCAGACAAGGGAATGAATACCAGGGTTGACTATGACTTGCTAACCTAACCTAACTAACGGAGCAAAGGCACGAACTGTTGTCATTAGTAACAACTGTTATGTATAATTCTACGTGAATTATTCATAAAACTTAATAATATAAATATAATTATTATATATGGGATCCACACAAATAGTTATGCTGTTCAGGAACCGTCCCTGCCCCACTCGCCTAACTAACGAACCCAATCGTTCTGAATGATATAACATTTTTTTTTAACAACATATATTTCTATGTGAACTATTCATAAAACTTAATGACAGAAACACAATTATTATATATGGAACCCACATGAACAGTAACAAAATATCACATCTCATATTATAAAAATGTATGAAAAGTTTACATAAAATTATAAAATATTCAAAAAATGTTACACTGTTCAAAGAACCATCCCTGCCTCACTCCCCTAACTAAGGAACCCAACCATGTGGAGCTTTTCTGATTAGTATCTTTATAAAATGCTACAACTACATAATACTAATACAATTTAGAGTGCTTAATGATTAATTAATTGTGTAGTAGATCAGATAAGCAAAAAAACCTTCCAAGAAATTGCACTTATTAGTGCTCACCCTATAACAGTTGAGTTCATGGTAGTGGAGTACATTAAATTTCTAAAACTCCAAGGAACCTCCGACTTATCCTCGAACATACTGTTTGGATTATAAATTATTTGAAATAATTTTGTGAAAAAAATACTATAACATTTTTTTGATATGATATATGTGAGATAAAAAGGTGATTGGAAAATGTGTTGATGATACAAGTAAGCCAGTGTGTGTAAATAAGGTGTAAATAAAATATAATTTTTTACAATCCAAACACAGGTACATGTATGTCAAATCTAGATGACAAATTCTTATCTCCTTTTGAGGAGGAGGAAAGGGGTAATAGTTAAGTAGTTTTTATGATAGAAGACAGTTTTATTGAAACTAGAAACGTATGTTACATTTAGGAATATGATCAAATATCACATTCCACGTTATTCTATCCACTAAATTTTAATGTTTTTTCCATTCAAAATCCACAAAGTATAACACCAACATACTTACCAATCAGTACAATTTTCAATTGACATGCATTTGGACTCCCATTATATTGGTGGAATTAGGCGCCAAACCTTTTTTGTTAATTATTGTTAATTAACTTCACTATTCAATCTTACTCGATTTTACAACGTTTCCATGAATATGTACATGCAAATGGGATCCACCTAAAAGGAGTGATCGTTTTAGTATAAACCTTTACAATTTTTTTTTTCAAACAAAATTTTCAATAATGAAGTGTGAACACAAGGGCAGCTTGTCAACAAAATAAATAGGAGTACAAACTTAAAGCAACCCCCAAGGAAGGAGGAGGTTTCATCAATGTTGCTTGAGAGTTGCTCTTTTGTTCCTTGGCCTTCTTAAAAACCAGATGGATAAGCTCATGTCCTGTATTACTTTCCAATGACTCTGGAAATGTTTCACATTGGTTACTAACTTCACATTGAGATCCTTGCTATCTTGAAAGTCCTGCATGTAGCATAGGATATCTGCACTATGTTGTTCACGGTTTCACTTACTATAGGATCATGTTGACGATCTCTAGTACACCCTTCATCTGTGGTTCAGTTATGAGAAATACAGGAGCATGCAGTTTAAGAATGCAAGATGATCACTAAACGTAGATCACTACAACCCCTGAAGCAAAATCCAACAGCCCAATTCAACTTGAATTATGCCCAGCAGGTTTCAGACACCAGAGGGGACCTCGTAGCATCTCCTTGAACAACTGCACCAGGCCCCTGCATGAATCACTGGACATTATCGTTCTTATCACCTGCTGTATATTCTCTTTGTTTGACTACTTTGAACCTCACTGTAGCAAGCAAGTGTATATGCATTCTCTCTTGCAATTGACTTTGCAATCCACCAGGTACTGAAATCAACTTTCTTGAGCTCAAGATACTTGAAGCATCACACTTAAACAGCCTCTGAGAAATAGTAATGCAAAAGATCAGAGGGACTTGATCAATTGGGGCATAAATCCTCAATTCTTCAAATCTTGAGAGATGATCACAATTAAATAATAAAAAACTAAAATGAACTACAAAATGCATACTTAAAGAAATGGAGAAACAAATAAGGACTTATCAAGAGTGTGACCCAAGGGACGAAGACCTTTTCATAGGTTTTATTGATCTCAGATGTCCATAATGAGAATCACATCTCTTAGAACTTGTACAAGGGAAATATACTGGCGTTGGTACGTTTGACATGGGCAAATAAAAACAGAATTTGTTCCAAGAATAACAATCAAGTGATCAAGAAATAGAATGGTAAGCACCCCTATTTTGATACATTATACAAACTACAGTGAAATAGGATCAGACACTAGTCTGGGATAAAGATACCAGTATCCTGCAAGTTGGCAAAAGGTACTATCATTTGCATCACAAAAGGAATAGTCCAGGTTTTGCATTCCAATCAGTACAGTACCTTCCAGGTTTTCACCTACCTAAGCAAAGCTGAGCAATATGGTGGCAATCTGGAAAGCCATATTTTCACTTCCATCTTCAACTCCTCAGCTAAAAGCTGACATGTACCAAGAATTTCACAACTTAGTCCAGTGACAAACACCAACTCAAGTACTTCATAGATAGAATAAACGACATATACAATACCACGTACAACTTCTGATATGGATGATAAAGCAACTGTTGATTTCTTAACTGAGACAGTAATAAGATGGAATAACCCCTGTATTAACTACTTCTATAAGAATATTGCAAACATTGAAAATGTAGCAAAATGCCCAGGTACACCACTGTGGTCTATGATCAAGCGCTTCCTGTAGGCTTTAGACCATTAGTTTTCTGCAGCCTGCGTATAAACTTGGCATTTTACCGTCTGTAACTCCATCCTTCACTGGATCATTATCTCCAAGAGGATATTAACATGATCTATATCTTCTTCTTTCTTTAAGTTCTTTATTGACTGGATGGTACAAAAGCAAAGAATGAGAATCTTACAAATTGATTGCCTATTTTCTTCGCAATTTTGACTTACTAGCAATTGTGATAGAGTAAAACAAAAGCATGCATGTTCTTAAGTTAATGCAATCAGCAATAGGTATGTTCCTCCCTTGCTCCAGAACTGTAAGGCCAATCCTTCATTAGGTACTTCCCACTCCAAAAAACACAAAGCAAATGGACTCCAAATGCAGAAGAGAGTACCCACGTTAAAGAATATAAAGGAAAGAACAGAAGTACCTAAAGCAGAAACAATCATCAAAAGGTTTGCAAAAGTTCCACCTTGCCCTTCCTTTCGCCGGCACAATTCCATCATTTACTGAATACTTCCTCTCCTATTCTCAGTCTCAAGAAGAAAAGCTGAATTAGATAACTAGTAGTATGGAGAAACAAGTTTCTGTTTCTTGAATTAAGCTGAATTAGATAAGACAGAAACATAAGCACAAACAGGATGTCCCACTGATAGACTCATTTCTCAAGGTCCCAACCTTTAACTGGCTCACAGGAAAAATGCTAACAATTCATGTAAAATGTTACAATTATAGACCTTTGTTAATCCAATCTTGAGAAAGAAGCCTAGTAAGCAAATAGTCATAAAGGAAAATTTTGTTTCTGCAGATATGATATATTGACACAAAGGTGATTGTGGCAACAGTCAAGTGAAAGAAATTCTCCAAATGCAAACCAATGCAACCCAAAAAAAAAGGTGCTATCGAATATAAAACCATCTATTTCCAAGAATATAAGCTTCAAAACAATATGTCCAGCACGCCCAGAACTGGAAAACAATCCTATTTATAAATACAGTTTGCCACAAGGAATTGACCCAACCAAAGAAGCAAAAGCTCGCATTTTCAACAATTTGATCATTGATAGTTCCAAAGTTCAGTCTAAATATCTCGCTCCAAGACATGAATGTAACAAATTGTCTTTTATCTGGCACTGCTACTGTCATAGAACACAATAATTAGTTTTCAGTTCGAAAATTAAGCTGAAGTTTCATCAAATCCTAAACCTCAAGTATATCAACTGAAGAAAATGCAGAAGACAAACTTGCATGCCAATGGAAAAGGTTGGACCATTGCAATCTTTAAAGCAAACATACTTTGCCTGAGGTAATGCAACACAATCATAGTCTGAAATGACGAGGAAGCCGGCCAGATCCGCTTTGCAGTCGCAAAATCTCTCTAGCAAATTCTTGATTACCCGTAAGCAAAAGCCCATTCAGAATGCGGTTGAAAGTAAACCTTCGAGGCAGAAATCCTCTGTCAATCATTTCTATCAACAACTTTCCTGCCACCACCAAATCATCGGATTTCTTTCTGACAAACATTGCACTGATCAAGATGTTATAAGTATCTAAGTTAGGTAAGCAATGCCCACTACCCATTTTCTCAAACAATTCGAAGGCCTTCGCAAATTCTCCATCATCACAATAATATCGAATTACAAGATTGTATGTCTGAACATTAGGCTCACACTCATCTTCTTTCATCTTGTCCATATACTCAACTGCCCTGTCCATTTTACCGACATGACACAAACCTCTAATGAGCACATTATAAGTAGTGACATTAGGTAAATAGCCCTTCCGCAACATCTCATCAAACACCAAAATTGCATTTTCCACATTGTCTTTCTTACATAAAACTTGAATCAGAGCATTGTAAGTTGCTACTGAGGGAAGCACTCCAGCTCCAACCATCTCATCAAACAGCTTACGGGACCTCTCAACCTCACCTGCAACACCAAAACCGTGAACCATAGTAGTATAAGTCACCACATCAATCTCACATTTTCTCCTCTTCATTTGCAAGAAAAACTCCCAAGCTTCCTTCGTTTGCCCTGCTCTAAAGAAACCTTTAAGAATTATATTATAAGTCATCACATTTGGCTCCAATCCTCTCTCTACCATTTCCTTCAAAATTTCCAAGGCCTTTGGCGTTCGCTTCATTATACAATACCCATTAGCGAGAATGTTATAACTAATCATATCAACTCTAAACTTCCTCCTAAACACCTTAAACAGATTATAGGCTATTTCAGCCTGCTTCGCCTTACAGAGCACATCAAGAAAAGAATTGAACGAAGTCAAATCCTGAGGATAACCATGTTTATGCATTGACAAGAAAAGGTCAACCGCCTTATCAGCTTTGCCAGAAGCCACATACCTTTCGAGGATGATGGCGAAGGTTTTCGGGCCAGGACCGAGCTTTATAGTCCGCATTTGAGCCACAAGGGCCCATAGGGTCTTGTAATCCCGCATTCTGGCAGCAATGTCGATGGCGTGGTCGAATGCGGTGGCGGAGTGGGTGTAAGAGAGATGGGAGTCGAGGGCTTTGAAGAACTGGAGAGCTTTCGGGCCATGGTTCCACAGGCGTTTGAGAATCGTGTGGACAAGCTCAGGGGTCCATTGCACAAGGGTGGGTAAATTTTGAGTCAAAATTTCTGGGTTTGTCTTGAGAACGTGGTTGGTTATGGAGGTAACGTCCACCTCCGCCACTGCCGGTGGTGGCGGAGGGGCTATGTGCGGTTTCAGAGGGGTTTTTGCAGAGGAGAAATCGGGGAACTTGGGGCCTATCGCTGTTTTGTGTAGTTTTAACATAATTTAAATTAGCAAGACGGTGGCAGAAGAGACCGCAAAACGCCACCGTTCTATCATGCTGCTAAAGGAAATGGACGACGGTGGCGACACTGGCGGGCAGTGGCAAGCGGGGAGCTTCCGCCGGTGGCAGAAGATATAAACATAAAAAATGAAGAGGGGAAAAAAAGGAAGAAAATGGAAAGATTTCATACAAAGTCCTTCACATTTTCAAATTATCCATGTTTAGCCCTTATATTTTGAAAGTAGTGCATTTCAATCCCCAACATTAACGGAGCTGCATATTTTTTTTCACACGGTAACAATTTATTCGTTGAAAAGGAAAATGATTAGCAGAAATTTTGAATTTCAACACAGGCATTTCATCAAACATCAGCAGCCCGCGCTCCACTTTCCCCCCAAACCCACCCACCCTTCCTCCGCCGCCCTCCGCCCCTCATCCCCCTAAAACCACCCCATCCCCGCCCCAGAAGTACGTGCATTCCACACTGACTATGTGTGAGAGCATGAAAGTATAAAACTAGTAAAAAAGATACATTGGGAAAATGGCGAGCAAAGAGACATGTAGACAAGATGATGCGGATACGGGCGCACAACAACTCCAACCTTGGGTCAAGGACCCTTTGATCAACATTGGTGGTCCGATGACAAGATCAAGAACCAAGAAGGTGAAGGAAGCTTTACGAGTCTTGATCATTCACCATACAAGCAAGGAGCAAGCTAGGTTTGAAGATTCGATGGACCATGAAGTTACTTTGTTCACTTGTACGTTTGAAGCGAAGGAATGATCTCATACTTGTTAGCTTAGTTGGTAGTTGTTTTAAGACTGTCTAGTTTAGTAGTTGTTAGGCGTTTAGTATTTTATTACTTATTGGGCCTTATCGGAAAGCCTTAAAGAGCTGGCTCTTTAAGCTCTTTGTGCGGACCGAATTTCTTCCAGGTTTATGTGGGCCGGATTTTTGCCCTAGTTTTAGCCTATAAAAGGCACCTCTTGTAAGAGTAAAGGACAGAATATTACAACCAGAAATCGTGAGGAATTTTCCTTCAAGTTCTTAATCGAACTTACTCTTGAATTCTTGAGTTCATAGCTTAGGATTCAAATCAGACTTTATCGATTAGCTTGTTCCCTAATCGTGGTGTCGCTTCATCCATCCTTATTTGCTTAAGGTTGCTGATTACCTTTGTGTGTCAGAGGTCTTGAGTTCATGAGAACAATCGAGTTCAATTTCTGTTGGGAGGAAAGATCCAACTCTGATAATTACAAGGTTGGGAGGTTCTAGGAGGGTCTTCCCCTAGGGTTGCCTATATCAGTTGGTAATCAGAGCATCAGGTTAATTCTCTTTTAATTGAAGTTGTTCATATCTTGTTAGTTTGTGTCTTTTGTCAAAAAAAAAAAAAACTGTAGCGATTACTGTTCATCGTTACTATTCCGAATTACTGTTCGTCGTACTGTAGCGTACTGTTCATGTTACTGTTCATCCGAGTCAAAAAAAAAAATTGTTTGGGTGTTGTCTTTTTTTGTGTTTTCTGTCCAAGTTCTTGGGTCTATTATACTTGTGTTTGGATTGTTAGGGTTTAAAGAGAAAAAAAAAAAGAGTCACGTACCTTATATTGTTTAGTGATCAAGTTGCTAGAGTATTGCTGGAATTTTCTTTTGAATATTGCTGAAATTCTGTTTTGCCTATTTCTTGAGAATTGGTTGTTGTTTCTGCAAACCCTAGACACCGCAACATAATTTGGGAAAATTCTTGTGTTTCTTGAACAAATTCTTGAAGTTCTTGGACCACCAAGTCTTGTTTTGAAAATTCTTGAACAATAAACCAAGAACTCGGGTTTTCTTGGAATTGGCATAACCTTTCATCCGTTTTCTTGAACTTGCTGGTGTGATCTCAATTTGTGTTCCTTGAAGAGCCGAAAAAAAAAGGAAAAAAAAAAGAAAAACAAAACGAAAGAAAAAAAAAGAAAGAAGAGAAGGAATTGGCTCTCATACAAAGGAAATCAAGTTTCCAAAAAAATCGTGAGTTTCCAATTCTTGGTGGGTTCCCAAATCTTGATTAGTCTCCAAATCTTGGTTGATTTCCCAAAACTTGAGTTTCCTAATCTTGATTGGTTTCCAACTCTTGAGTTCCAATCTTGATTGAATTCCAAAGACCCCAAACGACCTAACCAGCTCCAAACACACCCAATTCCGTTTTCAAAACCAAACCAAACACCTTAGCCCAAATCGCCTTGGGAGTTCTTGAATTTCTAAAAAAATCGGTTGAGCTAGTTTTGCGATCCGATTTGACTGAAATTTGAGGACTGGTTCGTATGTTATTTGAACATCCCAAAAGCACCACTTACCCTCCAAAATACTGACTAGAAACTCAGCAAAACAGCAGCTCAAAAAAAAAAAAGTTCCAGTTTCGGGTAGAGTTTTTCTAGGATTTACAAAATTCTGCTTTGTGTCTTATTACTTGCTTATAGGGTAATTAATTCTGGAATTTTTGAGAGTTTGAGTTGTTTTAAGAACTTCGAGAAGGAAAATTGAGAGTGAGTGTGTTTTCTTGAGTGATACACGAGTGCTTTGCAAGGTAGACTAGGATACACTTGTTTTGCAGGTTAGACAATATGTCTCAAGAGGGGAACATGCCTGAGCCGTCTGAGACCGACGTGTCACTCAAACTGGTGCTCCAAACTCTTAAAAAACAAGCGGAGAGGCATGAATTTGCAATGGAGAAACATGAATTTGCGATGGCACAAATATCCGACAGGTTGGCTGCCATTGAGATGCGAGGTACCGGAGATACACACCATAGGGTTTCGAGTGTTCAGAGTGCTGATCATGATGCGGATGATGAGGGGTATCATTCTCACACCTCATTTCGATCAAGGAGAAGCCAAGAGGGAGCGAGGGAAGGTCGAGGCCGACCTAGGAGAACCGATGACAATCTTGGTTCCATCAAGACTAAGATGCCTACCTTTCATGGGAAAAATGATCCTGAAACTTATTTAGATTGGGTTCGGAGAGTTGAGCAAGTGTTTGAAGTCCACAATTACTCCGAAGAGAAAAAGGTGAAACTTGCGGCTATTGAATTTGAAGATTATGCATCCATTTGGTGGGAGCAAGTATGTGCCACAAGGAGGAGAAATAGGGAACAACCAATTGACACTTGGGCTGAAATGAAGCAAGTGATGAGGAAACGATTTGTACCCTTCCATTACACCACAGACTTGTACAATCGGCTCCAACGACTCACCCAAGGGTCCAGTTCGGTTGATGAGTACCACAAACAAATGGAGGTAGCAATGATAAGGGCCAATATACAAGAGGATTCGGAAGCAACCATGGCAAGATTCCTTAATGGATTAAATCCTGAAATTCGGAAGAAGGTTGAGCTTCAAGACCACTTTGAGCTACAACAAATGGTGTCTTATGCAGAGAAGGTGGAAAGACAAGCCTTACCTATAAAGACACCTAGTGGCCGAACCACTACATCCTCTTCCACACCTTGGAGAAGAGATCAATTGCCAGCATCCAATGCTTGGCCGAGGCAAGGCAATAAAGAAAGGGAAAACAGGCGAATGGAGCAACCGTTCCATCCGAGTGCAACTCCTTCTAAACCAACCCCGCGGCCGGCCCTTCCAAGGGTCAATACGTCTACCAACCAGCCAAAGGCATGTTTCAAATGCAAGGGAATTGGCCACCTCATGGCTCAATGCCCTAACCGAAGCATCATGTACATGAATGAAGAAGGAATGTGGCAAAGCGAAGGAGAGGAGGAATATGCGGACATACCACCGCTTGAAGAAGAGGGGAAGGATGCTGACCTGGTTGAAATAGAATAGGACCCCGTGGCTCGAACTATGGTGACTATAAGAGTGCTAAATGCACAAGCTCAAGAAGATGATCTCCAACGGACCAACATTTTTCATACGAGATGTAAAATTGGAGATGAGGTATGTCTCATGATCATTGATAGTGGCTCTTGTACTAATTGCGTAGCTGCTGACTTTGTCGAGCAAAAACACCTTCCATGGACTTACCACCCTAAACCCTATAGACTATCTTGGTTAAATGATAGGGGGGAAGTCAAGGTGACCAAACAAGCTTTAATAGCTTTTTCTATTGGTCGGTACAAGGACCAAGTTTTATGTGATGTAATTCCTATACAAGCTAGTCATGTCTTGTTAGGGCGTCCGTGGAAGTATGATCGGCAGGCTGATCATATTGGACTCACTAATAAGTATAAGTTCATTATGGACAACCTCAAGATCACTCTTGCACCATTGACACCTACACAAGTGTATGAAGAACAATTGCATCTAAGGAAAGAGCGAGAGAAAAGGCAACTGAGAGAGGCAAAGAAAAAGCCGAATGTGCCTGAGGATGAGGAAAAAAAGAAAGTAGAGGCCGAGTTGAGTGAAAAAGAAAATTCGAGTGGAAAAAACTTAGTGAGGCCGAGAGCTTGAAAGTGAACAAAAAGAGCTTCTATGCAAGTGTGCGTGAGGTAGGTAGGGCTTTGAATGCACAAAGTCTTCTCATAGTACTTCTGTACAGGGAAGCTGATTATTCTTCTTTTTACACACTAGGCATAACCGATTCTCTTCCTAGTGCAATCTACTCTCTTTTGCAGGAATTCAAGGATGTGTTTCCGGAGGAACTATCAAAAGGATTATCTCCAATTCGAGGTATCGAACATCAAATCGACTTTGTTCCTGGAGCAATTCTCCCAAATCGACCAGCCTATAGAGCAAATCCGGAGGAAACAAAGGAAATCCAAAGGCAAGTCGATTCCCTCCTTGAAAAGGACCAGGTACGTGAATCTCTTAGTCCTTGTGCAGTTCCAGTCATTTTAGTGCCTAAGAAAGAAGGGACTTGGAGAATGTGTACAGATTGTCGTGCAATTAATAAAATTACTGTTAAGTATCGTCATCCTATTCCTAGGTTAGATGATATGTTAGAAGAATTGCATGGGGCAATCATTTTCACTAAAATTGACTTAAGATCTGGTTATCATCAAATAAGGATAAGGGAAGGAGACGAATGGAAAACTGCTTTCAAAACAAAGTATGGTCTTTATGAGTGGCTTGTGATGCCTTGCGGCTTAACAAACGCTCCAAGTACTTTC